ACACTTTCTCTGTATACACTCAAGCGTCTATACGTCCTCCATCTCCTGCTTCTCTTGCACTTCTGAGTAGATGCTAACTGCATTTCCCATGACTTGTATTCAATGTGCAATCGAGGATAAAAGTACAAAATTATGATAAAGTTTAATCTAATATATAATGTATCAGAAATCTTGTCTACAAAAGTGTTTTAAATTCTGCTTGAATGAGATGTTTAACTCATTTATTTGACCTTAGGGATGTTATCTTAGAGGCCTTATTAAGCTTTGTGGCCTTTTCCCTTTCCTATAGTGTGTTCTACATGTATAGGTTTGTGTGCATGTAAAAATCCAGTTTCTCAAAATACAAATATGAACCTGAAAATGAGCATAAAAAGGGCCCTTTAAGTGAATAAAAAACTGATCAAAACGGAGAAATATGTGTTTGAATATTTGATAAAAGCCTATAATAAGTGCTTCAAATATGTGAATTAGACATTTCACTGCATTACTGACCTAAGGCATGTTACTTTATCTTTGAGTGTATAAAAAACAGATTTTAAACTCCGTTGCTTAGTGTACAGTAAAGTATTGGGAACATGTTATCTCATTGTGACCGGAGTATCACAAGGTCTAGCAGTTTCCAAGCCTCAGGCAACACAGCAAACGTACCTTTACTTCAATAAAAACCATTTGAGACTAAAGTGAATTCTCCATGCCAGTGAGATATAATAAATTGAATAGGGAGTACATTTAAAAGCTGTCACATATCCATCTCTTTCCTGTCTTCAATAAAACCTCATAAATACTCTGTTCCAGACTTTAGACAGAGTGTGGTTGTGTGTGTGTGTGTGTGTGTGTGTGTGTGTGTGGGGGTGTGTGTGTGTGTGTGTGTGTGTGTGTGTGTGTGTGTGTGTGTGTGTGGTTGTGTGAGTGGGTCCAGGACTGAAATCAGATCGTATTGTCTGGCGGGTAAGACGAGGATTACTTCCCTAACCTTCTCATACCTTCACGGAACAATGAGAGAGGACAGAATGAGCAAGTTGTTTAGAAAAATATCTGCTTACACCGCAAAAAACACATCCATCTGCTCCGTGTGTCCTCATCTACATCGACTCAATGAGCCGGACCCCTTCTACTGCGCCTGCATATGTGTGAGGCGTTTAACATCATGTTGTGTATCTGTGTGTCTTAAAGGCGCCGGCAACAGACAGAGACATGGTGAACAGGAAACCGTACAGATCCTCTGTCTGCTCGCAGGATTTTCAGTCTATAGAGGAGCTACCTAAACAAAAAAAACTAATTTCAGACCATGTTAGTCAGACACATCCCATAACCACCCTCACTGGTAAACAGAGTAGGAAACTGTTGTGTTAGTTGATGCGGCCAATTAATTATATTGCAAGTCATTTAAAAATCTATAAAAGAAGTATAAACCGGTTTAGGCTGTTTGAGAAATTGTAAGTATGGTATTAAAAAATGCAATACGTGTATTTCAATCGCCCTGAGCGGTGTTATATTGGAGTCTTTTTATAAAAAAAACGAGCCGTGTCTTAAAAAGGAGTAAAGCGTAAATTATGCATATCATTTCCCCCCCTCTCCATTCCTCTTCTTCATTTATTCGCAGCAAAAACATGGCCGCAGTCCACGCCAGCTCTGTCCCGCTCGCTCAACTCTCCCCCTGAAGGAGGTCTCACTTTGGGGGAGGTGGAGGTGTCATGGCGCAGTAACCTGGCTGGGGGGGGGGGGAGCTCCTATGTGTTGGCCTGTTCATGGCTGTGGGCAGTGTGTGTTACTTGGAGTGTGTGTTGTGAGGCTGTTATGCCCCCCCCTCACTCTCACAGACCTCTCGGGGTAACGCAACTGTAAAACTAGATTTCTGAAGTTAATGTCTTACTGCTTCACTCAACTTAGTTTTTAAATGAGATCTCAGTCAGAGTGTGTAGAGGCAAATCCAAATGCCAAACCTGCCTTGAGTCTCCAGATATGATGCATGCAGTTAGACGCACCAAACAAAAGACGCATTTAAAGAATAAATGTTTAATTTTAAGCTAAATATTTTGTGTTAAATAGACCCAAAAGCTGGCTCTAACTACCGAATAAAAACGTTAAAAAAAGGCTTATTTACTGACAGAAAGTGCGATCATGAAACTGTGTGTAACTGCTCTACCTGCAATTGTGTTTTTATATATAGGTATATATTATAGGTAAATGGGAAAATGAGGGTGCATCCCCGCACAAGGCTTCGTATATACTTCCCATAACACAATATAATAATAACAATGTTTTTAGCAAGACATTTAAAGTAAGAAATGTCAGCTCCTATAAAGCGTTTAAAAAATAGTTCAACAATCTCCAGATTTTTCACACTGCCAAAGCCACGAGCCACTTGTAAGCTGCTTCACTAGCCCATCTTAAGACTACATTAAAAACAACATACACACCTGACATTCTCCGACTGTACCTCCATCAGAGTGGCTATTGTCTCAGTTAGTGACAACAAGCTGTTATCTCTACTGTGGCA